CCACCTCGGCATCCCTTCCCTTTCTGGCTTCGCAGCACCCTCCAGAGAATCAAGCGCAGGGCCACGGCCACGGCCACGCGCGCACAGCCACGCTTCCCACTGGACCCAGCGCCCTTCCAGGCTCAAGGCCCCGAGTCCCCTTCAGCAGCAGGGAGCCAATCACAGGGGCGCTTGGAGGAGGCCGTGGGGAGGGGGAGGGACTGTTACCTTCTGCCTCTGGAACACGTGAGTGAGAGGAGCCACCTGGCAGTCCTTGTGTGCCCCGAAGATCTTGCACAGGGAGCAGGTGGGCACCTCGCAGTTGAGACAGTAGATGTTGATGCGCTCCTCTTCGTGCTCCTCGCACCTGGGCTGGTCGGACTTCTTTTCAGGCCTGGGAGGAAGTGGCAGATAAATGTGTCAGCTCCCACTGGGGCAGCCCCGAGATGGGTGCTCAGCATTGCAAAGGCCAGCTAGACCCTGTACGCAACAGCAGCCCCACTCCAGAGGACTCCCAGAGTCCTCCAAATTCAGGTTCCCTACAACTTAGCAGTAATGTGCTGACAAATCTCTGACAACCAGCCTGGGGTGGGGGCGGGGTGGTGGAGGCTGAGCTGTAGCATTTGCCAATTTCCATGGTGTTGAGTATCCCCAGCATGTCAGATTTCAAGTTATTGAAAGTTCAAAAGCCAGCTAGCGAATTCCTGAAAGTTAACACTGGGCTCGTGGGTTAAGTTAGGAGCGTGCTCCAGCACAGATTCCACAGCCTACTAGTTTCTCAAGAGTACTCCTGCCATTAACCCAGAAAGTTAAATGTAGGTAACTTCCTGAGGACTTGGCAGTGGTTAGGAGTGGGTAGTATGTGCTCAGTGAATGTGAAGAATTATACTGAAGAGGCAATAAGAAAAATACAAAATGCTGTTCTGGGGCATGGTGGACCTTGGAAGTGCAATTCTCACAGAAAATCCCCAAGTGTTCGTTTTCCCAACAGGTCAGCACCAACCAAAACTTTTTCGAGCTACAGCAGGTAATAATGGAGAATTATTAATTATGTGCTAGTGAGATGGTGGCAAGCAGTAAAGAAACCAAGGAGTAGTGAAAGCCATTGTGACTTAAGGGAGAACTTGTTTGCTGTGGAATCCCCCGTAGCAGCCCAAGTTCACGGCGCATGATAGCACCCTGTGTATTCCGCTAATCTTCAGCATGGCTTAGGTATTATGATCAAGATCAAAATTATACCAAGTTGTGGTGCTTTATGCTCTCTCTGGAGGTGTGCGTGTAGCTGACTCACCCAAAAATCTGGACTTTTTTATATATCTTATCTAAAGACTGAGGCTGTTAATAGGTACTTGAAAATTTTAAATACAAATCCAAAACCTTGTCAAACACGTGGTTGTTTAGAAGCATCTCAGATTTGGAACTGAATTTTTTGTTTAGTTGTTATAAAGATCTACCTTTTTAAAAACTGCAGGTTTTTATGGGCCATGATGTCAATTCAGGGGGTCATGACTAGCATTGTTAAAATAAAATAGAATAGCCAATACTGTGAACTGTATATAGTAAGGATAAGTATTGATATGTGAAACTTTTGTTTCAGTTGTACATATATATATGTACATACATATTTGTGTATATATGTATCAATATAGACCTGAAACAAAAGTATATATTTCATGCATATCTATATATCTACAAGCGTCCATGTATGTATAGGTCACTAGATCACAAAGCAAAACATACTTCCTATGTGAGACATGAATTTAAAATGTTTGAAAACCACTAATATTGATGTGTGGTAAAATGTAGCTGCAGACCTAGAACTCAGAGGAAGGCAGTGAATGTGCTGATTTACATCTGTCACTAGGTTGAAGTTGAGTGCTTGAGACTGGGAGAAGCCCTGGGTCTGGTAAGGAAATTGCATGGACTGCCAGCTTCCAGATTTCAGAATCTGATTTTTTTTAAAAGGAATTTTTGCCTGGTCTTGTACCAATATGTTTTCTATGAAGTCTGTGACCTCCTGACTTGATTTCTGCCATCTGCCTAGAAGCTAACTGAGGAAAATAAATTCCACAACTGAGAAAATGTATCACCCCTCTGAGGACTATCTTTTTTTTCCACCAGAATGTAAGTTCTATGAGGGCAGGAGCTATGGTCTGAATTCTTTTTTGCTGGGTCCCCAGTGCTCAGAACAATGTCTTGCATAGAGTGGGTGCTCAGTAAATACTTGTTGAATAAATGAGTGAGAATTGAAAGAGAATTTGCCAGATTAATGGATAGTACTCCTGTGCTCTAACATGACTCATCTGGAAAAGGCATGTGAAATACAGGGAAAGGCTGGGGCCGCTTGGCACTCATGAATGGCAAGGAGACCAGACAACAGCCTAAAGGCTCCATCGATAAATGACAAAGCCTGCTGGGGATTGTGAGACTGGGAGTGGTGATTTGGTCTTTGTTTGATCAAAGGCTTTTCCACCTCTAAAACTTTCCCTCTCCTGTGTTTCTACCTCATAGTAAATGTTGAGCAAGCGTCTGGAGCACATTCACTGGAACTTGGCACAGGCAATGCTACTGCGGCTCATCTCTCCCAGGCATTTCCTGAGGGCAGCCTGAGTCCCTTGTGCTGTTCTGATGTCAACAGCTCTGACCACAGACACGTTATAGAACTTGGGTATATTCAGTATATGCAAATGCTGAAGACATGGAAATAGCCATAGGCTCTATGTTTAGTTTTTTATTGAGATTATTTATTTTTCATAATGCAATAGACTGAGAACTACGTCCCATGTTTTTTGTTAGGTTTTTCTTGTTTAGGTGGCAACACGGGCCCAGAGGCATTCCCCATTTATAAATGAGTATATAATGACAACCTTTAGACAACCTAAAAGATATAATAGCCTTGGGAAAAATGTGGCATGTAGAATAAAGATGTAAATGCCCTTTCATGATGTGAGGATGGCCAAGCTCACAGTTGTGGTTCAGGGCTCAGTGCCAAATGCTGGCAGTGGCTCTAGCCATTCAGTGCAGGCTACACTCAAAGAGTCTGTAGGATGCTCTCTCTGGTCTCTGAGATTGCTGGGACCATCCTAGAGTTTCCTGAAGGGTGGGCATCTGGTCTTGAAGAGGCATTTCAGGCAGTAGCTTTAGAGTCAAACTGATCTTAAAGCTTAATTTCAGCTCACCTTCTCCATGTGGTAACCGTGTGGCCTTAGGCAAGTTACTTAACCTCTTTCAGGCTCAGCTTTTACTCAAAGCTAAAAATTGGACTAAGGGTCTTCTAATTAAATATGGCAGAATTTAAATAAACATATGCATTTATTTGTTTCCTGTTGAAATCCCACTAAAATAAGTGACCTTGCAGTACTATTTGAATGTTTAAAATTATATATATGAATTACTGTGAGTAAAATATTAAAAACTTTAAATAAGGTAATAATGATAATAATAATAATAATAATAATAATAATAGTCACAACCTCCCAGGATTATTGTGAGAATTCAAGAATTTGCACATGATGCATGTGTAAAGCACCCTGAACAGTGGTTGAGACACACTCAGCACGTGTTAGTTTGACTTACTGTATTTTAAAGTTAATGATTATGTTCATTACTAAAAGCAGTGAAATTAGTTCCTTCTCTTGTCATTGCCCCCAAACTGTGGCTAGTTCAGCACTGTGCAAAACTCTAGATAAGAAGGCCAGGTTTTGTCCAGATCTACAATCTCTAGCCTTTCTGTAGGAGGTCAAAGTTCACCAGCTTCTCCCTTTCTACCCCCAACCCCAATGACTGTGGGTCAGAGCTGGGTTCATTGAACTCTGTATATCCCAGGTTATTCCAGGGTCACCTTAATATACCCTGGCACCCAGTATCCTGGGCTGGTAAGGCTGCCAGCCTCTAGGGAACAACTGGGTTTATGCCCAAACATTTGCCTGAGCCCTTTGTGCAGCATGTGGTTTTGTTACCAAGTAAAAATGTTCTAAAGGCAAGTCTCAAGTTCACGAAACAAAAGCATAAGAAGAATTTGATAATCACAGAAACACCCCTAGCACACTCAAGTATGAGCTTCATTGTTGGACATTTGGTTCATGGCTTTTATACAATTTTCTCACCTGGCACTATTTTTGGAACATGCACCACACAGACTTTATAGGTACTAATGTGTCTTACAGTTTTACTCACGCTACAGGTTTTAACATCTCCTCTTCTCTGGATTTCATAACAATTATTGTTATTTCACATGTTTCAAGCTCTCACTGTGGCAAGTAGCAAAACAGAAAATTACTGCAATAACTAGAGCATGTAGGAAGGTTTGTGGTGTTGCTTAATCAGCTGGCACTTACGGAACCACTACTCTGTGCAAGGCACTGTACTCGGCACTGAATCAGTTGTTATATAAACTCCCTTAGTAACTGGTTGATTACTGATTGCTAGTTAATTTTTTTAAAGAGACAGCATGTGAATTTGCATTTTAAACTAATGAATCCAAGCAACAGCAACAATAGTACTTTCCTTCTCAAGAGACTTTCGACTCAAGGGAAACAGTCGACTCTGGATCTGCAATGTCATCAGCAATCATCTTCTGCCCCAGTTCCGTCTTTATCCTGGTGCTATCTAATTTAATTTTGAATCATAAGCAGAAACTAATAGCTATAGTGATTACAGTAATTATATGTTAGATTTATAAAGCAGCTCTCTTTCTAAGAGTGCAAGGCTCTCAGAGCAATGCAGATGTTCCATAAATACATGTCTTCTAATAAGGATCACAATGAGGTCATTTCTAGATGGTCTTAATATTGCTACCAAGCTTTATGGACCTGCCTGACTGTATACAACTGAAAGAGGGCCCTTCACACCATGCCTTCTAGGAATGAACTCTCACAGTGTTGTCTCTAGAAAGGAACTTTATAGCTAATGTGATTCGAAGAGGAAGAAGCCCCCCCCCTTTTTTTTTAAATGATTGGATGTATATACTGCATATCAGTCAGTCAATAGGTAAGTGCTAATAGTTCACGGTAAATACAATCTAGAGATAGGGAGACATAACCTGAACTCCATGTTATTTTTTCCCCCCATGTCTCTAAACTTTAAGTTGCTAAAGACCAGGGCTATGCCTTGCTTTGCGACTTCCAGAGTCAATATCATGACATGTTAGAGAATTTTGTTTTCATTGTTATCATCTAGATGACTTTAAGGTGAGACTGTCTGAACTAGAAATGGACTATTATGGAAGATTCCATTTCTGTAACTTTCTATGAAGTTTTATACTATATTTTTCTTATGTAGAATCTGGAGCTACAGAGGTCCTGTGAAGTGCAGAAATGCCTACACTGTATATAATAAAAGGCTTGGGGTGGGGCAGCATTATGCCTCTTTCAGTGTCACCATCTGGACTGGATTAGTGTTGAGTTACTTCATTCTTAAATTGATACAAAAGCATGGTCACCATCTCCCTTCTCTCCTCCCATGAGCGACTCTCACTCCCACTGGAAAAGACTGACTTGGAAAAACATTTTGCTATAAAACAACTGGCCTCCAATGGCTGAAAAAGCATTCAGTGTAGTGACCCATTAAAACAACCAAACAAATAAACAAAAACAAGCTTCCAATGGGTTTGATACATGTAAGGACCATACCTGGTGGACTCCTGCTTGTAGATGTCAATGATGTTTTCCACCAGCAGGTTCCTCTGAAGTCCATATATCCCATGTCTATCCAAAACCACTTCATGCCTACAGGATGGGCAGCGGAATCGGCCCCCTGATGCCACGGTGGTGCCTCCTCTTGTGGGCAAGTACGGGTTAGAGGCCTGTTCTTGCCAAGCAAGAAAAGAGGAATTGAGTAATGCCACGGTAGCTTTTCAGAGCCTTCTCCTCACTCTCTGTTACTACAAACAACATCAGCTTCTACTTTACGCTTGCCATAAGATAATCCCTTAAGGCCTTATCAGCAAGTGATCCTAAAACACAGGCTCAATGCTCAGCCACAGTCGACTGCAATGTACCATTTCCAATGTGAGGTGATTTTCCATCCAAGGTTTTCATAACCAAAATTTCCAGCCAGAAACTCCAACATTAATGTCTTGGATAGTAATTCATTTACAATTTTGAAACAGATTCCATTAAAAAAAAACCAAATATGATTCTTATTATTGAAATAAAATTAAATTTGAGAATAAGAGGAGGCTAACAGCAAAGTACAAAGCAAATCATTAAAATTTTGCTTGTTTTTCTTGAAAATGAATGTAGCCTTTTAAAGTTTCCTAAAGGGATTCACCTCAAAGTTAAGCACTGGATTCAGAGGAATCTTTTCCGCCCCTACATTCCAAATAAACCTACCTGGAAGATATCACTGGCGCATTTCCTACACAGGTTATGCTGACAGGGGAGAATGACCACAGGCTTTGTGAACATCTCCAAGCAGATGGGACAGATGAGCTGCTTCTCCAAGTTGTCCATGGTCTGCTGCTCTTTGGAGAAAGACTTATAATTCAAAGATGCGCTCATCTCCTAGCCGTCGGCGTGCGCACTGCCAGGGAAAGGGTGCTCCGAATGGTCTCTACAAGTGTTTCCTGGAAGTAATTCCAAGGATTGTGTGATCAAGTGTCCTTCATGTTTCTTTCCGTGGAGGACATTGTTTCTGGCCCTGGTTCCGAGTGGGAGCCAGAGCTGTTTTTAGCAGCTGGGGTCACGTGACAGAAGGCTGACTTGTCCATATAAGCCAGTGACAGGAGGACAGATTCTGACAGGTGACGGAGAACAGGAGCCAGCATTCCTACCTCGGGAGTGAAAAGAGTGAGTGGGAAGTTGGATTACAAACCCCACTTAGACGGCTGTGAGAAGGAGGTCAAAGCAGACAGCTGTCAACAACAAATGCGAATGTGCGTGCGGAGCAGCCACCGAGCCCTGCCCTCTGTGAGGCTTTGGTAAGGACGAGGTGACGGGTTTCTCCAGGGCCCGGCGAATGCAGCCCAGGCAGGCTAGCTGTATAATGAATGCCATTTCTGTCTTGAGAGTTTAGAAAGCAAGTTACCCCAGGAGCATGATCACATCATCTTAGGTGAAAATAAAACGTGTCTTGAAAATCAGCATCCTGGCTTCACAAGGACCATCATTAAAAAGACTTGCTCGCTGTTAAATATGTCATCTTTGCAAAGGGGGTGGTATGGGAAACATTCTAACTTAAAAACTGATTTCAAACCTTTTCACTATAAAAGTGTCTACAAAGTAAAAGAAAAATTCAAATACCAGTGGATGACTCAATTTTTTAAAAAGGCTGTAGAATAAAACTCTCATATGCTCTTTTCTGTTTTACATTGCTTACCCTCTTCCTTAACCTTCTGTCATCCTGTATCCCCACTCCCACCCCCACACACCCTAAAATACAAAGAAAATCGGACAATCTTTAAAAGGTTAAAACAGTTTGCAACAGCTATCAGCAGTGAGGTAGTAATTGGCTCATGGGGTGGCAGACCATTAACTCATTTTGACATATGACAGGTGGCAGATATCAGGCCATTGTCAACCGAAACGAAAATGAAGTCCTGCTTCCATACCTGTTTCTTATCTGGTCTGAGATACTTACACCCTTTTGCATTTGCCTCGTAGTCCAAGTTGATTTTTTAAATGCTAGTTTCCCTGGTGGTTTCTGATATTCTTGGTCTGCTCCTGAGTCATAAATATCAATTCTGATATTTGCCAAAATTTTGTGCAACAACTGTTTCATTAATATATATTTTATTATAAATTTTTAAATCAAATTTAAAATGGAAAAGAAATACATGTCTACTTTTTTATGTGATGAATGTGCAGCTTCATTTCTCCCTGATTTTAAAAACCTCAAACAATGAAATCCAGCTAGGTGAGGTCAGTCCCTCGAGACTGTTAACATATCCCTGGTGTGCACTTAATTACCGGGAGAGACTAGGCGGGTGTGACTGGTTATGTGTGGTCTTAGTGTTGTGTGTACTGAGAGCTTATTGAGAATCTAAAAAGCTCTATTAACTAATAATAAGTTATATATATTCATAAACATTTCAGGGATCTTTGGAGAATTTTGTTATTCCTTTCAATATCTATTTAGCAACTACAGTGAATAAGGGAATTGGTGAAATCTTTTTACTGCATTAATTCAGTTCTGTTAGCCTGGGCAGTTAATTTTGTTTATCAAGGTCTGAGCACAATAAAAGAAAATTTCTACTAGAAAAGACTTTGCAACCTAAAGAAGAACACTTAAACTAATGATACACATTGTAGCAGAGTCTGTCCTTATAAGAGGAATTCATTCTTTCAAAAAACATTCTTTGCGTGTTTATCATGTGTTTCCATTGTGCTGGCCTCTGGGGATTGGAAAGACAAACTAGACACAGGTCATTGTCCCCAAGGAGCTCAGTCTAACAGTAGAGATGAGACATGCATATACAGAACCGTAGTACAAAACACCATGTTATAAAGACCTACAGAACTTCAGAGATGGAGGAATTAGGAGGGCTTCATGGGTGGGGTACCATTTGAATTGATCCACTGAGGAGCTTTGTTAGATGTGTCACAGGTGGGGCTTCCTAGAAGACACAGAAGCAAAGACAGTGAGCACAGGAGCTCTGGGAATGCTCGGAGGGTGTGGTGCTTTGGGCTGGAGTGCAGAGCATAGCGCTGGCTCGTTGGCAGGCCATGTACACCGGGCTGAAGAGTTTTTAGCACTCAATAAATTAAACAACAGGAGCTTGTTAAAAGTTTCTCACAGGGACCTTTCCATGAGAACTGTGCGTTGGCTAGATTAATTTCACAGTGGTGGTTGGGACAGATAAGACTGACAGTGACCTGGCTAAACACCAGATGGCAGGTTGTTGCCAGTGGCCTAGGTGACAGGTCACAAAGCCCTGGCATCAGGCGATGGCAGTGGGGAAGGAAAGGAGGAAATGGACTCCGGGTTGACTAGGAAAGTAGGGCTCACAGAGCTGACTCAGATGCCCTGTCTCGGAGCAATGAGCCACGATGTGGTGAGAAGCTGCACAGTGAGTCAGGATGTCCTGTTCGGCTCTGATGTCCACCTCGCTTTGTGGTCTCAGGGAACTGACCTCACCTAGCTGGATTTCAGTTCTTTTATCGACAAGTGAGTGTACTTCATAACCTAATTTAGCAGAATCTGTAGGGAAGTACCCCCTCCCTGAAACAGTATTAATTTTAACAGCGGAAATCCCTAATTTCATTATCTGGTGTAGAGTTGATCCCTGCCCTCTCCTCTTTTTCCCCTCTGTTCCTTCTTGCTCTCTGCCTTTTACTTTTTCTTAGAATTGCCCCTGGAGGCTACACGGGAAACTAGCAAGAATCCCATAGGAATATGAGCAAAACTGATGGGTAATAATTTCCTTTCCTCCTCACTTGCTTTTCTCCATTCCTCCAACCTCACCACCCTCAGAAACCAGCCATCAATAGGGCGGGCGTGCGAGTTGAGAACGGCACGTGGGAGTAGCACTCGGCTCTAGGGAGGAACCACAAAATTTTAGTCCACTCCTAAATCATTCGCACAGCCTGAGGGACAAGTAGAATTCTGGGACTGAATCAGAATTAAAGTCAGCTCCACGTCGCTGGGATTTGGACTGGACCTGGGCCCCCACAGAGACATGAACACCCGCTTAGTCTCCTGAAGGTACCCCGGACTCTGCATCAGTGGTACACGGCTTCCTCCCCTTTTCCTACCCCACCCTTCCCCACACTAGGATAGGGGGTTGAAGCCAAATGGGGGCAATTAGTCGGAAGCCCCGATTGCCCCTCATGCCTGAGTCCCACCAGACCGGGGCAGGTGTATGTTTAGACATTTAGAAGCTGAAGCTCCTTAAGCAGTTTCCTAATCTCCCAGGTAAGTCAGAGGAAGAAAGATGGGTCCCTAAGAACCTGAGTAATTCATCAAACAAAACAGAGGACTTATGGTCAGATAGAGCTAAAGGGAAGTAAAAAATAGATGCAGTTTGAAGCAAAGCAGTGAGGGTAGAGAGCATGCAGCCCTGGTGGAAGAGAAAACAGGAAGAATTTCCTACAACAAGGACTCGACTCATGACATCTAGAAAACACTTCACATTTTCCTTTTGTCTACATTGTCAGTCCTTTCAGTTTAGCTGTTTATCTGACAATGGGCAATTTGGATATGTGGTTTTTAAATTTTTAGTGAAAAAAATTTATAAAATCTAAAATTAAAGAGAAATGAACTGCCTTGAAAAGTACTTAACAGGAGCCAATACTGTGGCATTTCTTTCATTAAATAGTTTATAAACTTCTGGCTGAAAGCTTGTTTTCATCTTGATAATTACTCCTTTTCTAAATGTTTTTTATAAATTTTACTTCATCATAAATATCTCTGAGAAGATGTTTGAAAACTAACATATTGTACTTTCCTCTGAATATTCCTTGGCATAATTCACACGCCAGGAATGAACAGTGCTAGTACCAACAAGTAGCAGATATCTTAGCTAAGGCCTTCCCAGTGGTTATGTCTGAACCCCTTACTTTGGCTCCAGGCCCTCCTTGACTCCGTCCTCAGCATACACAATCCCCCTATCTCCCCTCCACCCCAGCCTCCTAATTGATTTCTCTGAATTCACTCTTGCCTGCTGCAATCTATTTCTCATGTGTCAGTCCCTACTGAAATCCCATTAATGGTCATATTACCTCTAGGATAAAGATATTAATCTTCACTCTGGTCTCTAAGGCCCGATCTGGCCCTCACCTATCTCTCTGGCCTGTCTGATAGAAATAAGATGTGAGTGACATATATGAGCCATATATATAATTTTAAATTTTTAGTAGCCACATTGAAAATCAGAAACAAATGGAATTAATTTCATTAATATATTTTATTGAACCCCCAAACATATAAACTATTATCATTTCAACATGTAATCAATGTTTTTAAAAATGAGATATCTGTAAATAGAGATGGTTTTATTTTTTCCTTTCCAATCTAGAGGTCTTCTACTTTATTTTTCTTGCCTTATTGCACTTGCTAGAAACCCCAGAATGGACATCCTTGCTTTGTTCCTGATCTCAGGAGGAAAGCGTTCATACTGTTAAGTATGATGTTAGTTGTTTTTCATTGATGCCCTTTATCAGATTGAAGAAGCTCCCTTCCCTTCCAAGTCTGCTGACAGTTTTAAAAATCAGGAATGGATGTTGAATTTTGTCAACTACTTTCCAGCATCTACTGAAATGATCATGTGGGTTTTCTTCTTTAGTCTGTTTACTATGATGAATTAATGTTGATTTTGGAATTTCGAACCACTCATATTCTTGGAATAAATCCCACTCGGTCATGAATTCCATTCCACACGTGCGCTGCTGATCCTGAGACCTTGTGTGAGTTCTTGCTCACTCATCTGCCCTAAACATGTGTTCTCCACTTGGATTTGGGGTGAATTCCTTCTCATCTTTTTGAATTACTCATTTCTTGTTCTTTTAGTCATTTATAGTTTCACTGCCAGCTCCTCCTGTCAGCCAGCTAGAACATCCATAACCCCCAAATTTGGGACATATCATCCAATAAAAGGATTCTTTATCCCACTTTGTAATTTGTTTCCCCCCAAACGATGAGGGTGTATTTTAAGTGAATCACTATGTATTCCATTGAAAGACTTTATTGAAAAGAATAAAATGAGATGAAAACAGAGGCTGTCCTAAAAAATGAAAGATATACTAATAAAATACAACAGGTTGTACATTGGTAACAAAAATGGACAGGTT